AACCATCAAATGAAAGCCATTCGCCTTCTTTAATCACCTTATCTCCGATAAGAAGAACCTTCGTATCATCATTCATACGAATATCATCGCAGCTTTCACATTCTTTAAGAAATCTTTTCACCACTTCCCAATGACTTTGACTTGACTTTGGTGTCTCCATAAATCTTCAAAGTAGGCTTACTAAAGGATTATGTTAGGCGTGTGGTTGCCAACCATGCTTTTGTAGAAGGCTAGAGTCTATTTCCACTATTCTTCTTAGACAACTTTAATCCAAAGGAGTACTTACAGGATTGAAGCATTCAAATTTATCTAATAAGCCTTGAGCATACCTTTTATAACTTTGTTGAGATATTGTGATTCTCTCATTTTCTTGTTTGTTCTTTCTTCTCCAGTGCAAGACCCCGTGAGATTATTCCTTCTGACATTTTTCTTTCCTTTCTCCACGATTAGGAGAGTATACAAGTAGCAAACTTGAACACTATCATGACTGGTATATCTTTGATCATCAACTCTTCTGTGAAGAGTTTCATCCACCTTATACAGTGATCATCATCAACAGAAAAAACATCCAGAATCTTTTGGTCTGGTATGTTCATAGCAAATAATACAACCAAACTTCAATTCTTCTTCTTCTTCTTCTTCTTCTTCTTCTTCTTCTTTCTTCTTTTTCTTCTTCTTTTTCTTCTTCTTTATCTTCTTCTTTTTTTTCTTCTTAACCTTAAAGTTTTCTTCTCTTTCATCTTCCTCTTCTTTTTCTTCTTTTTCTTTCTTCTTCTTCCTCTTCCTTTCCTTCTTAATCTTCTCATCTGGACTTGAACCAAACTTTAAACATTCTGTGTTACCCTTGTAAAATCGGGCCATTTTAGTTTGATGATTATACCAAACATTCTTAACATGATAAACCGATCTTCCTGGCAAATATGTGGCAATTTTTGCCCATTTGTTTCCATACTTGCCTTGTAAATCAAACAACACTTGTTTCTCTATTTCTGAAAACTCTCCTTTCTTGAGATTAGGTTGAAAATTGTTCAACCACCGAAGACGACATGATTTTCCCGTACGTTGAAGATGTCCTTTTGAAAGAGGAATATCCCAATCTCTGGGTCCGTATTCTTCGATGTGCTTAATGAGGAGTTCATCTTCTTCTACTTTCCATGGTCCTTTCTTTATTTCAATAGGAATTCGTTGTTCCAGAATCGTCTTTTGTTTGTCTTTATTTTTGACAGAAATTTCAATGCCAAAATTTTTTATTGTAGACATCTAGACTCCGTGTAATCTTGTTTGAATTTCTCCTTCGAATTTTCTACACAGTGTTGTTTCTTCCTTATGTTCTTCTTCATGCGTTCTTCTGCACAATTATTCAACTTTACTGCATAGTTCTTCAAATCTTGATCACATAGAACCGAGAACCATAGGCTCTGATACCACTTTGTTGGAGATACAGAGAAGAAAACATCAAGTATACGTAAGAAGTTTGAATTTCTTCAAGGATGTTCTAGATAACTGATTTTGATATGATCTGT